TCTGGCGGAAATATATCGCAGATATCATGTCTTCTGGAGGGAAAGTGGATATGTCCTCTCCTGCGTGGAGTTTCTTGATAGCCGGATAAGTCAGGAGGGTGAGTGGGACGTACATTTTAGACTTGGCGAGGTTGATGAGAGAGTGGGGAATATCGTAGTAGGCATCTAGGGATACGAATTTGACGTCTTCGCAGCGAAAGGTGAGGTCTGCTGTGAAATGAGTGGAATGTTTGTCTTCTGTGAGTTTTACTTGAAACGCTTGATCGCAGGGAGAAAGCGAGTTATACATGTGAAGATAGCTTGGTTCTGACGGGCTCTTTGCGCTGACCAGAGAACACGCGCATGCAGCGTCCGAGTCGTTACCCCCAGCACTAGCGTTCCGTAGTGAGCAGTTCACATCGACGTGGTTTGTGCTGGTAGAGCCTTGCAAAGACACGGAATTAAACGTGTTTGATGTGATGATTGAGTGAAAGACACGTTCAGAATCGGAGCGAACAAGTGCATATATGCGTCGAAACAAGGCTAAAGGCGTTCATAGATCGCTTAGTATTAGTAAGCGCTTCTCCGGTGCCATCATCATTATGCGTATTGGTCGCCTCACTGGGCTCCAGACTAACCTAAGTACTTGTAGTTGAATGGTGAAATGGTTCGTTCCTTAGAGCATTCAGCACACTGGAAGTACTCACTTACTTACCAGGCGTCAGGAAAAGACCCTGGCACATTCAAGCTTGAAGTTGTCTTTGCAAACGCTCGTTAACGAACTGACATCTAATCAAGGTAAGTAAAAAAAAAGGTACCGTAGCCATTCTGTGAGAACCAGACGCTGACCTAGGCATAGGAACAATTTCTGCAACGTGGATAACAAATGCGGAAAAGTATTTCGCTACTCATACTTTCCTTCAGTGTCCCGAAGCTCCACTGACATCTCTTTGCAGGGTGTCTCGTCCTCAGTTATACGACGCAGGTCATCTTCCAAGCCCTGTATAGAGGATAATGCGGCGTCTATGGTATCCAGAGCTACACCATTATTCATAAGGGCCGCTTGTCCCTCAGGCTCCTGCAATCTGACCAAAGTCGCATGCACCATTGGAGCGAAATCCGCCAGCCACTTCCTCAAAACACTATAATTTGAGGCTGGCCAATTTAGCCTCGTCGCTGTCACGAAGGCTGGTATTCCATCAACGTAGTCGTTCCATTCGATAGATTGCGCGTCTCGCCATGCGTCTGTAGTGAACAGCCGCCAGTTCTCCTCAGCAGAACTAATCTGAATATCCTTGCCCGAAAACTTGATGTGCCCGAAGATCGTAAGAAGTAAGAATTTGAGCATCTCACCCTTAAGATGATTTCCGTCAACTAGAGAAATGCACCGTGCGAGATGGTCATCATTGGTCCCGGTCAGACGTTGACACCATTCTTCGTTCTTTATCAGGGTATAGATGATGTGGATTTAGCAAGAATCTCGATCAATATGGGAAGAGGTGTGGGGTTCAGTATTGTAGGTCGTCTGACCGTCTTCAGGACATGCGGCAGTTAAAAGGACACGGGAAAGCTCATTTAGGAGTTGTGCGTCGATACCCAGTGGCATTGAAGCCAGTTCTTCTCGGGCTTCAAAAACAGCCCTAAGCGCGCTATGCCGGACTCGGAGAGGTCTAGTGGGGCCCATACAACGGATAAGCGAGCTGATGTAGGACTGTCGCTTGGTAGGACTCCCTAGTCCCTGCATGGCGCTCAGTGCAAGCAAGGCGTCACCTTTGGTTTCTTCATCCGTATGTGCGTCACCCGCTATTAAATCGGCGGGCGAACAAATTGTGTTGTTGTCCGCCAGGTAATCGACAAGCCAATCAAATTCTTCATAGCTGGGCTTATGCTCGTCGCTGTGATGCCAGCGCCAATCACCGTGCCAAATCAAGTCTTCATCATCCGGACGTGATAGTCGATTGGCATGTCCGTGAACAACCACGGTTCTGAGGGCAGTGCGTATATCTGCCCGAAGCTTCTGTTGAGCGTCTGCTTCCTGTGTGTCCTTCGAGTTAAGCTGCTCGTAGGCATTACGTCCAGCCATGAACGCCTCGCGAATGAGACGAATGCGGGTTTGCCCAAATTCAGCGTACTCCAGAAGTCTCGAGCTGATTTTCACTGGCTGGATGCAAAGATGGGCCATGGCTTTGTGATACTTCACATATAGCTCTGAAATGTCACGGCAAAGTGGGAAGATTTCAAGTAAGCGTTTGTATGATGCTGATACATTAAGCTGCTGGGGCCATTGCACGCAAGGTACCATCACAGCCGCAGCATCGACAAATTCAGGGTTCGTGGATTTCTCCAGCATCCAACGAATGGCAGACGATTTAATGCAACAAGCCAAACTGGATGAAATTGGATCTATAGGACTGGCCAGATACGAAATGACAATAATAGTGGCCAACAAGACGTAGATGATGACCTTGTATATCGTGTGTTGCTGGGCGTGCATGTTGACGGCTAGCGATGCACAAAGGAGAGAGAGTGAAACCTCGAGGAGGAGAAAGAAATTATTCAATAAAGTCCCCGGCCGAAAAAACGGTGACGTATTAAATATCTTCTGCCTGCGTATCCCGCGCTCTTCCAGAGTCCCTCGTTCCAACCACTTGCTCTTGTAAAGCAATAGCTTGACCATGACGGACCCAAATGCGGCAAAGAGGCTGAACATGAGGCCACTATACGCAAGCTCCTGTGCCAAGACAGTCGAGGAGGGGTATTGCGTAGACGAGGAAAGATTGCTGATGTCAGGCACGGAATTTGTGCCGTTAACAGTTTAATAAATTAGCTGGAAGAGGAGGGCATTGGTAGTGTCTCCCGGGTTGGGCTGCATTCCAACGATGAACGTAGCAATGACGGTTGAAAGAAGACCACCCTGATTCGCCTGTTAGATCTGCGTCGACGAACATGAAAAGGAACGCACAAAAGTGAGGATAATATTTATATCGTTATGCATCTGCTTGACCAAGTCATTGTCGTACTCAGTCGAAACTTTCTCGTACGTTGCCCAAAACCTTGAATTGTCATCTTTCCTGCGTTCTTTTGTAATAATAGAATATTGAAGGACATTGAGAATCTGCCCCATTGTGTCTGACCTTCGAGAAAATATGCTTAGACGTCAAGTGCACCGCCCTGATTAATTCACACTTACATATTCTTGGCGAGACTTCCTTCGATGTATACCGCAGGATTCTTATTCGCGTTATTCGACTTGATCCCATTGTCCGAGGCGTGCTCCAGGGTGTTTGACCTTTGAAACAATATAGTTAGACGCCAAAAGTATGCTGACTGGTTAATGGTTACATATTCTCAGCCAGGCCTCCGAGTTCACGCTCCTCATTTGCATTACTATTTGGCTCGAGTTCATCCCGAATCTGCCCTGAGGACCTTTGAGACAATAGAGTCAGACGTCAAGTATACCATGCTGGTTTGCTACTTACTCATTGTTTGGCAGGTTAGTATTGACAGGTGGTGAACTGGGTCGTGACGATGCGCTTGCCATGCTTTGGGCTGGGGACATGGGAAGGTAGGGAGGGAGAAATGGTGGAAATATACAGTGTGCTGCGCTGCATCAAAGGAACAAGTTCTTATCGGACGCCAAAGCCCTGTATCCGATTGCGACGGCATGTGAGGTGTCCCAGAATCAAGTCAGCGAAGCAGGCGCTCGAATCAGCTGAGATGCTCACCTTTAGGGATGAGCTTACCACAGAATCAAGTTACCGCAGCAGGCGCTTGAATCAGCTAAGATGCTCATCTTCAGGGATAAGCTTAACCACAGAATCAAGTTACTGAAGCAGGTGCTTGAATGTTGATGTGCTCATTTTCAGAGATGAGCTTACAACACCATCCTTGTTTTCAAAAAGTACGTAGAAGTGATAAACCACTGGGGAGAAATGGTGACAGAAAGCATGTGACTTACTTAGTCGCTCTGCCGTCAGGCGTCAATTCTGACACAGAAGCATGCGCATGCTCTTATCTGGCGCCAAAGCTTACTGTACAGATAGTACGGTTGCTGATGGCCGCGGAGCAAGATAGCCACGAATATCATGATAATTCACAAATGTCGTTGCAAAACTTCTCACCCGTATAGAAGCCATGGTGTCATACTATGACACAGTGCCGTTTTAACTCTCCGACGATTCCCCTTGACGAGATCAAGAATTCTATTTCCAACTCCAAACACTATCATTCAAGGCTGGCCAATTCAGCCTCGTCGCTGTCACGAAGACCAGTATTCCATCTAGTGAGATAAGTAGCTTCTATTGGCCTTCGAACACCTTGTGCAACTCGCAACCGTTCAGAAATTCCTTGACAAGTCGAGTTGAATCTCTAAGTAAACCATTCATGAGTGGATGTCAAGGTGTATTCTGATAGAAAAATACGTTGCAGGTTTCGAACCTACACAGTCCAAGATAAACAGATTTTGATTCTGTTGTGGGAACTATCAGGCTAAGATCAGTTACGGTAAACTTCTAAAGAAAGCATCACGAGTGAATATCAAGATGTCTTCCGATAGAAAAAACCTTGTTGTCGGCAGGTTTTGAACCTGAACAGTCCAAGAGAAACAGATTTTGATTCTGTTGGGGCAACCACCTGGCTAGAACCAGTTCCGGTGAACTTCTAAAGCATCCATCCATGAGTGAATATCAAGACGTGTTCCGATAGAAAAAAACCTTGTCGTCGGCAGGTTTCGAACCTGTACAGTCCAAGGGAAACATATTTGATTCCGTTGTGGCACACTAGCAATCACCGGTTAAGACCAGCTACGGTGAACTTCTAAAGCATCCATGAGTGAATATCAAGTGTGTTTCGATAGGAAAAAACCACGTCGTTGGCAGGTTTCGAGCCTGCACATTCCAAGAGAAACAGATTTTGATTCTGTTGTGGCAACCAAGCTGGCTAAGACAAGTTGCGGTGAACTTCGAAAGCATCCATCCATGAGTGAATATCAAGGTGTGTTCCAATAGAGAGAAAAAAACTCTTATCGTCGGCAGGTTTCAAACCTGCACATTCCACAGATTTTGACTCTGTTGCGGTAACCACCTGGCTAAGACCAGTTATGATGAGCTTTTAAAGAAACCATCCATGAATGAATGCCAAATTGTGCTCTGATAGGAAAAAAAAAGTAATTCAGCAGGTTTCGAACCTGCGTAGTCCAAGAGAAACAGATTTTAATTCTGTTGTGGTAACCACTCTGGCCGAGCTAAGGTCTTTGACTGTTCTACTTGACGACTCACGAGACTTCGTAAGTTGAAAACTTATGGGGCCCCTGATTGACACGGCCCAAAAAAAAAAGACATCGACAAGTCTGAACGTCTACGAGACAATAAAATTGTTCCGACGAGGGACGAAGACTAAATTAGCAGTAAGTTCGATACCATTAAGTATACGTGGAGCTTCTAGAAACACAGGAGGAAATCAGCAGATACTGAAAATGAGGACAATGAGACACTGTCACCACTTCGAAGGCCAGACATGGATTGGAGACGCGAGTCTCATCTTCCCACAAAACGGTGATCACGCAGTAATCCAGTTCATCCTAAACATAATATCGAGACCACATGCGACCTCGAACTCAAGATCGGTAGCGAGAGCACGGCAATAAATCACTGAGGCCATGGGGATTTTAGCGAAACGTGAACTTGGGGACAAATGGCCGAGCGAACGAGAAATCGAAGGAGACGGGAAGAGAATACAATTTAAGGTCAAAAGCAACACACGCAGGAAGACGACCGATTTGAATGAGGTCCAGTGGTATTACTCGCTCCCTTATGGTAGCGGGAATAAATCTACATGACACATTAGAATGGTCGCACAGGGTGTTCGGAGGTCAATGGAAGCACTTACTTTACTAGGAAAGTTCTGAGAAGTGGAAGCCTTGAAAGTAGAGCACGGTGGTCTGGCTTTCCATACGAAGATGATCCTTACGATGCATAAACAACCCACAGATTACATGCGCCTGCGTGATCACTGCATATTGATCCCCCAGTAAAGAACAAGAAATTATCGATAAGTTGGCGTAAGCTGGGAACAACCACTGGCAACAAAGAGCCCACAGGATACTGTCTCAGTGCTAATAGGCGCACCCGGGATCTCAAAAAACCCAAAATACTTGCGTACAATGCAGGATGACACTACAGAACCCCATCATTAGGGAGTTCTTGAGCCGAGACAGCAAGAGAGGCGGGAGGCGGGCGGGGGGAAAGGTCCCACTGAAAGTAGAAGCCGAGCTATTGAGAATGAACTCTGGACCGCCATAAAGACGAAAACAACGAAAACAGAGAGGGGCAAAAAAAATTGACTGCCCGATGATGACTAAGGCCCCGCTCGGCAACTGAGTTTTCGCTGGTTACACGCCAAAATCACGACCGATCGAACCAAGCAGGTGTTCCCATCAAAACGTCAATTTAACCTGACCAGCACATGTGCTCGACAAAAAAGTCTGATTTTGATGGTTAGATTGTGTATCCACTTGTACTTATCTGTAGCCTCTGTCTAATTTATGAACTCGTCCCTCTCTTTCTGATGACACCTACTATGGAAAATGACAAGGAAAACACTGGTCTACTTGCCGAATCTCTTACTCCCAAAGTCCCGAAGACCAAATTGAAGGTGCCAAGTGCAAGCACAAAGACTGTTTGGAAGTCCAATGATGAGCTGTGTTGATTGCAACACTTCTCAAGGAACGGGAGGAGGGTCATCAATCTGACTCGGGATTCAAACCGAAGTCATTTGTTGCTTGTGCAGAAGCACTCCAAGGGAGTGAGAAGACGAGTGGAGGGGTTGCAAAGACATCTGGCTCGTGCCATGACCATTGGAGAAAGGTATGTCTTGTATTTTATTCAAAACACATTCTGACAATGCTCTCAGCTTAAAAAGGACTTCGCCGTCGTCAAAAAACTCAGGGAACAGTCTGGGTTTGGCTGGGAAAATACTTTGAAGATCGTAATTGCCCCTCCAGATGTCTGGGAGAAATATCTCGAGGCAAGTACATTCTCGTCAGATCTTTGTGAGGTCACTGGCCGAGCTCCAGACATTGTAGTCTAGAATACATTACGTGCATTCAAAATATATTGATAACTATCCCACATGGCTTTGGCAATGGAATCCCTGAGCTCAGAAACCTGACTCCGCTCTGCCAATGAGATATCACCTCCAAGGTAAACTAATGAATAATTGATATGATGGAGCACCTTGTGAGAGTACTGGGACTGTGCTGAAACCGTTCCTCAAGATGGCGCTGGGGTAAGCCAGTTACAGCAAAGTATAGAAATATTGCAAGCTGTTCATTTGCCGAAACGTATCTTGTGTCATGAAGGCCATGCTTGATCAGCTCATGGAGAAGGGCTTGAAATACATGTTTGTTCATTCCCATTGCACCATAAAAGCGTTGGGGGTGGCCAACAAGAAGCTCATTCAACCATTGTTGGCCAGTGAGCTTCAAGGTGTTTTTTGGCATTTTGTTGTAGTGGATAGAGAATTGGTATTGGGTAAGTGAAGCAGCAGCAAGTGCGAGAGCAATGACAGCAGCTGCCCTTTTTTTCTTGGCTTTAGAGCCTGCAAGGCAAGCGTTGATTAACATAAGTACAGCACTCTACTATAAAAAGAAACAGCGGCCTGGTTTGGCAGATTTCGATGGTCTAATTTTCCTTCGCATCAATTGAACCTGACCAGCGAAAACAAACCCGACTCAGTTGCCGAGCGGGGCCTAAGACCGCGACCTTGTGCTATTGGAATTGAGCACTGCCGCAACTGGAGGCAGGGAAGTGGTGCAGAAAGTCTGGGAATCTGACATCACCAGAGAAAAGTGAGTGTTGGTTGTCCTTCTTGACTATCCGTATGACGAGGCGGGTGTGTCCTGCTCTCGGTGAGTGCGTGTTCTTATCTTTGGACTACTTATTCGACGCTGATGGTCGTGGCCATGTCCAATTTTGAGTTGCTTACTCGATGCTGATATGCCGTGGCCCGGTTGTGTTCTTTCCCTTTGACTTGCTCATTCGACGCTGGTGGCGCTGCAGCCGTGTGCTCTCAGCCAGTGCGTGTTCTCAAAGTCGATGATAATGGTGCTGTGGTCCTGTCCCATTCTCATCCAGGCCTGTTCTTGTCTTTTAACTTGCTTTTTCAATGCTGATGGTGTGCCGTGGTCGTGTATACTCCTGCTCACATGTACATGACGCCAACTTTTTGTTGAATAGTCAAACGTTACATGGACCTCGGACATCACCGGTAGTATTAGATAAGCATGGACATACTTACAGCCGCTCTTTACTCTACCTACCTCAGTGACTTGCTAGTCTACTGAGGTGAGCATACGCTACTTACACATTCATTACTTAGTACTGACTACTACTGCAGCTTACCTATTGCTGCAGGTATATAATACAGTGACTTGCTAGTCTACTGAGCTTACCTATTGCTGCACTTTTGGGGTGCCGTACAGACCCTCCAGTCTCCCTTTAGGTTTGTCTCATAGTTTGGTGTCCATGTAATACCTACATATGGAGAATCGGGGTTGTCGTTCGTATAGTTTAGTCCTTACCATTTTCTCGGATGGTGTGGAGTCGACCCTCGAGCTTCAAGTCTCACCATCCTAGAACTGTCAAACTGGTAGGTGGCTGTCCTTTGATATTTCAGTGCGTTGATATTTTAGTCTTGATTTCTTTTTGCACAGGATTATTATCAAAGCTCCGAAAACTTCATTGTTATGGTGATTGGGCGTTCTATGCACATGAATACTCTGCCCTCAGGTTACGCACGCTTTTCAGGATCAAGGATTCGTAGTGCATGATTGGATACACCGTATAAAGCAACATGACAATGAACAATGATATACCTGACTGCTTCCTGGAGTTTTATCTGTGTGGAGTTTGCTTACAGCGCTTGTCATCCACATTCCTCAATGCTCGTAATGACAGTATGTATTTTCTCTCTGACAGATCGTGCATTCTTCCACATGCATTTTTCCTGAGTAGTCACTTGAAGCCATTCTCAAATGTTGATTCTGCCGCGGTTTCATGACTAGTGTCAAATCTATACAATACTTCATCGCACGAAGTTATGTGAAATGTTTATGAACACTGACACTTGTAGAGTATTGTAGTATCATCAGGAAATCAACCAGAGTATGACAAAGATTTAGCTAGCTTTATTTAATGTAAAATATTAAAAATATGTACATATCATAATTGCAGATCTGTCACAACCCACAAAACGAATTAATGCTAGGGCAGGGACTAGGACTCAAACTATGGTTATCACAGAGGAAGAGAAGAGCAAGGACGTCTTGGATTGCTACAAGTGTAGATACAAGAGGTTTGAACTAAAGAACTACTATGGCGAAACTAGCTAACTATATACACATATTTGAAACTGAGATATAAACTGAGTTTGAAACTACTAGTCAATCATAAAATAGAAATGAGAATCGTACGATGTGATGATTGTGACATTGTTATGACGTCATATTCTAGAAAGTTCTAAGATCACGTGACACTATCTTATCTTATCTTATCCGATAGCATCATAAAAGATCTCTTCATCTTCATCAGGAAGTTCGGTTATAGAAGCGGTTATAGGGATTTCAATGGAGTTTGTGTTTGTCTTAGCGCTGGGTTTAGACACTTTAGGGAAATTGAGGAAGGAGTAGTGATTTGTATTTGGAATTCGTGACAAGATCACATGATAAAGGAATAGATAGGCAGATTACATTGGTAGGATCTCCAAATGCTATAATGTAGGTAGACCTATGGTACCAAGTTATGATCAACTAAGCACATTGTCATATTATTGGCAAATTTATCTACTCTTACATAGGCAGTTTCTAATGATAGAATGTATAATTGCTGGCAGTGTGCCAGTGTATGATACTAGATTATCGTGCTATAGCAAAGTGCTGATTATCTACCATATATACCTGGCTTTAGATAGGTAGCTTTTGATGATGGGATTTGCAATTGCTGACAGTGTGCCAAGGTATGATATTGAATTATCGTGCAATAGCAAGCTGTTAATATTCTACAAAAGACAACTACTGTTGCATGGGTGGTTTCTTGTGGCA